AAGCTGCTAGAGTCTTCCTCTTGAGATAACATCAGCAATAAAAAAGCCTGTATTAGAATCTGAAAAGGCACATAATGTAATCATAGAGCACATTGCTCAGGTTTGCATAGCACTTTACAGTTTACAAAGCACTTTCCCATGCATTAACTCATTTGAGCAAATTGCAGGGAATCAGTTAACTACAGAAAAGTATAAAGGAGCAATAAAATTTATCTTTGAACCCATCACTCAGAGAAAAATCTTTGTTAACCTTATAATGTTCCCTTTGATCTATTTTCTAGCATTTTTTGCTAGTTTGCATTTGTCTGTTTGGGGACCGTAATGCATATACATTTTTATGGCCTGCCTTCTTTACAGAACATTGTACCTTCAGCCTCTCTGACCTTCACGTCTGTCCAGGGAAGAAGTAATTGTGCTGTGAAATGTCCATGGTTTGAAATCCAAAGACTGAGTCTCCGTTTTCTCTTTTGTGTAAGAAATGTGTGCTGAAGGGTTAAACTAATGAAGCAATGCAGCAGAGGATTTTGGCACTGTACCTAGCACATAGTAGGTGTTCTGTCCATAACAGCTGAATATAGGTGACAGTCACAGTAGTGATAAATAATATACCAAAGCCCAGGATGACATCTGCTGGACCTACAGTCTTGCAGACAGGTGTGTCTGGCAGCTTCTCACAGTACCTGGTGTGGTTCCTAGACCCCACCTGTTAAGCACCAGGTGAGCTTGGGAGGTAGATTCTAGAGAATCACATTAGTGGTGCTGCAGAGTTCACAGACAGAGGCCACTTATCCCGCAGGACGCTGGTGACACTTCCTGCCATGGCAAGCTGGCTATGGTAGTTCTGGAAGCTCTTTCCTTGACCACTGCTCCCTGTCTTACCATGCAGGGAGGGGCTGAGCACATCCCACAGAGGCTTGCTGACCTCACCTGGTGCTCCAGAGGTTCCAGGCTCAGGGGATTCAGAGATGAGTCAGGTTCAGCCCTTACCTGAGCCCACCACTGCACAACTGCTCTCTAGAAAATGGCTCTGCAACCCACTGACCTTGGGGTGTCTTTTCCCCTGATGGAAGGAATGTGTGCACATGTGTGTGTGTGTGTGCGTGTGTGTGTGTGTGTGTGTGTGTAAAGCCCCGTAGACACATGCATTTTTCATCCCCTGGTCATTAGTGTTCTTTCCCACACTGAGGATAATCCCCAGGTCAGGGAGAGCCCCTGTCTCCACAGACACCTGCCTGCCTGCCCTTCCAGGCACATGGCCCCCCACTTTCCCTCTCTTCTGTTCATAGATCTGGAAGCCATGTGTATACCTTTGTGAACACATTCAAAATACAAAACAAAACCAAGGGAAGAAGACAATGAGCCCCTCTCTTGCAAAAAGAGTTTCGCAGATGTCTGTTTTCTGAATGGGAATGGTGGTCTTTTCTCTTTTGCAGCTCGGGTGAGGGAGAGGACATCAGTGGGTTAAGTTTCCTCCTGGGAGGTGACATAATGGTTTCTAGTCACAGTTGAGTTCCTCAAGGAGACAGGCTTGGCTACACTGCCTGCTCTTCATGAATCAGAGTGTCACCCGACTCAGCCAGCCCTGCATCCCCCAGGCCCTTGACATACAGTCTACTTCAGGTGTCATCAGGCCCAGGTGTCTCCCCTCCTACTAGTGTCCTAATAACTGTGATAGCAGGTGATGTCTGATGAGTCACTCCTTTTACCCAAACACTGAGCTTTTTGCACACAGCATCTCTCACCATCCCCTGGTACCATCGCCATCCCCCTTTTACAGTTAAGGAAATCAAAGCTGGGTAAGGTTAATAACCCACCCACCTGCCTGCAGTGGTCAGGCAGGAGAGGCATCTCCATCTGAGGCCTGGGGAGCATCTTTCCTGGAAAGGAGCCAGGTGGTGGAGGGGCGAAGACCAGCTTTGACCTCCCCGAGTGACCTTGGGAATCTGAAACGGCCTTCCCCACCATCAAGGCATCTTTGGTGTGTCACTGGTGGGCACCAAAGGGAATGAGTAGGTACACACTCTCAGATTCCCCTAGCAGAGCTTGGTGCCTGTTTGTCTCTCCAAAATCTTTTCAGCCATCACAGACCCTTGAACTGCAAATAGCAGGCAAAGAGTGGATTTAGGGAACGGACTTATTTGTCACCTTCTGTGCACATAATTAGAGGACATGGGAGGAAACTGGAGGGATGGGTCTTCCCCATGATCCCAGTCTTCTTGTCTGCAGATACTTTTCATGCATGCAACACATGGGTATGGAGCACTTCCAAGAGTGAAGTGTCACTGTGTCACCAAGGTAGTTGCCCTCAAATAATTGCAGTTCAAGTTGACAAATGCTTTCATGGAGCCATGGTGCAGTTGTTCTTGGAGCACAGAAAAGAAAGATCATGGAACCGGGCACAGCCAGCAAAGGTCTCAGAGAGACGGTATATTACATTGTCTGTGCTAAATTTTGAAAGGTAAATAGAAGGTCCCTAGGTGTAGAAGAGTAGGGTGGGGTGAAGGAGGGCCAGCAGCGGGGAAAGAACATGACATGGAAGAAAGTCAGAAATGTGGAGGGAAACAGGTTTGGAATCACAGGGAAGATCCTTGATGGGAGTACTGAATATGTGGGGGTGACAGGCAGAGAAAGCTGTGTGTGAGTGTCCCCAAGGAAATTGGGATTTAGTCCTACATTAATATGTAGGACTTTGATAAGGGGTCAGCTGGCTCATAGGATCTTAGCTGCACTGAGACTTCCAGCTCCTGGTCTTATAGCTGGGCATGGTGTCACACGCCTGTAATCCCAGTGGCTCAGGAGGCTGAGACAGGAAGATTAGGAAAGCCAGTCCCAGCAACTTAGTGAGGTCCCCATCCACTCAGTGAGACCCTGTCTCTAAATAAAGTAGTTTAAAAAGGGCTCAGTTGTTCAGTGCCCCTGGGTTCAATCCCTCAAACCAAAAAAGAAAAAAAAAAGTTGGCATAGGGGAATCTTCAAATGGGCAAGGCCATCAAGTTGACTTGAAAAGTTGGATAATATCCCTGATTGCAGTCTTTTCATTGGTAAAAATTTTAAAGGTAGCCTATAACATCCCATAGACACTAGATCTCAACAGATTCCCCAAGGAGCATCTGGAAATATGGGACTACATTTGGGTTTACAGAGCCATCTGTAGAGGCTATGAGCATTTACCCTTGAAAGACTCAGGAGAGCAACTATCCTTAGATAGGTGGTGCAGACCCTGCAATGTAAAAGGGCCCCCCACACAATGCTAATTTACATTATTAGGTTTCTGTTCCTCAAACCCCATAAAACCTCAATGACCCAAGACATGTTTGTTGGAGCAGAATTGTTGATCTTGACAGGACCCATCACATGACTGGGGCAATTGAGGAGAATGTACCCTGCCCCAGCTGTCAGTCCTCTTGGGGCAAGCTAGTCTAGACCTTTTCTCTTGACTGTGGTAGAAGTGCAAGAATTGCATGCATTTTCTCTTGAAGGCTCACCTCAGAATGGGAATGACATTGATCCCTTGCATTCTTTTAGCAAAAGCCCATCACAGGTCCAGTTCACATTCAATGGATGGGGAGATAGACCCAGTCTCTGTCATAAGCCCCACTGCAAAGGGTAGGATACTGTGGGGAAAGGAATGAAGAATTAGAGCAATTAATAGAATCATCCACCCCAGCACGACTCTTAAGAAATGACGTCATAGCATGATTTAACAAGGCTGTGGCCTTAACTGTTAGAAAACCATACAGAAGCAAGTTAATGTATGGTGGGTTTGAAATTTAAAAAAATAAAAGCATCTCCTTGGAAAAACATTATTCCTTCTACTCCTTTCAGCCAGATTGGTAACTCTAGACATATAAACTTTAGTCTATATTCAACTGTATGTATCAAGTGATGGAGAAGGCGGATGTAATAGAAGAAACATAGGAACCAATTGTGTGAACGTTGGCAAATTATTGTTTTATAGAAGTCAATTATACTGAAATACAAACTGCATGCAACAGGCCCCACTGTTCTTAGTCTGCCACTAGGCAAGCGTCCCCAAATGTGTGCAACCAGGTTACCATCATGCCAGTTGGGATGTGGGTCATTTCCATCACCCTTAAAGCTCCCTTGCTCTTCCCAGGCCTTCTCTCCACACTCCACATCTGCACATCCCGTTTCTATCATTGAGGATGAGCTTTGAACCCAGTTTTGTTGTGTTTTTGTTTTTGTTTTTGTTTTTAATTCCAGTTGTTCATCTGTAACCCAGGTGCCCTCATCCTGTGGTTATTGGTTGCTGTGGGGTGTAGCGAGAGGGTATGGCCTGGGCAGCCGCATCTGCATATCAGTGTTTGCATATCTCATGAGCATCCAGGCTCCTGGGTAGCAGGGCCAGCCTGCTGTCTCCACCAGTCCAGGTAGGAGGAAGTAGAGCTGAAGACTTCTGCAAACAGATTAATGAAGTGAGAATTTCTTAGAGTTAGGGAAAAAAGAGAGAAGAGAAAAAAAAAAGTGGTTGTTTTGATGTTGATTAAACTTAGGTAAAATTAAACAAAAATAAGAGTTTTGTTTATATATTTGTTTGGTTTGTTTTACAATATTTGGCCCAAAGATTGAAATCTGTAGCCCTAGGGGAAGAAAAGCATCAGGTCACATGGAGGTCCCTCCTGTGTGGGTTTTTCTCCTCATTGAACTTTCTCCCTGTTATCGTTTTTGGTTGTTCTTCTGGGTCACCTAGTTTACAGGGAACAGTGGCAGGTTATACCTTTGTCAGTGAGCATGACCATTGCTCCTAGCTAAGTGGGGCTCAGCCCTCAGATGGTGAGGCTTTTGTCCTCGTGATCACCTTTTTGAAATTAGATTCAATCTCTGGGGAAAAGAAGATGGAGATTCTTCCTGCATCTGCCAAACCACCAACAAGGCCCCAATATGTGATAAACTCTGAGAGGGCAGAGCGTGCTGGCAGCACGCGGGCCCCTTGGAGCATTTATTCTCGTCCCCAAGCCCTGTGCCCTCCTGCCTTGCAGCTCCAGAAGCAGCTGTCGGAGCTCGATGAGGACGACCTGTGCTATGAGTTCCGGCGAGAGCGCTTCACCGTGCACCGCACCCACCTGTACTTCCTGCACTACGAGTACGAGCCAGCTGCAGACGGCACCGACGTCACCCTGGTTGCCCAGCTCTCCATGGACAGGTATGGCCAAGCGGGAGATGGCCTCACAAGCTTAGGATAAGATAGGGCCAGGCTGGTGTCTCAGCCCCTCCCCCACTGCTGCTGTTGGCTGTGCATCGTAGGGAGGGCTGATTCTTTGGAAGTAAAGCCCTACTCAAATTCATTGCTGGTGGGACTGCAAATTGGTGTAGCCAATATGGGAAGCAGTATGGAGAACCCTTGGAAAGCTGGGAATGGAACCACCCCCCAGCTATCCCACTCCTTGGTCTATACCCAAAGGACTTAAAATCAGCATACCTCAGGGACACAGTCACATCAATGTTTATAGCAGCACAATTCACAATAGCTAAACTGTGGAACCAACCTAGATGCCTTTAAGTAGATGAATGGATAAAAAAAATGTGGTGTATACACAATGGAATATTATTCAGCATTAAAAGAGAATTAAATCATGGCATTTGCAGGTAAATGGATGGAGTTGGAGAAGATAATGCTGAGTCAAGTTTGCCAATCCCAAAAAATCAAATGCCAAATGTTTACTCTGATTTAAGGCTGCTGATTCATAATGGGGGGAGGGGTGGGCATGGGAGGATTAGATCAACTCTAGATAGGGCAGAGGGAAAAAGGGAAGGGGGGAGGGGAGGGGCATGGGGGTTGGAAAGACGGTGGAATGAGATGGACATTATTACCCTAAGTACATGCATGAAGACAGGAATGGTGTGACTCTACTTTGTATACAACCAGAGACGTAAAAATTGTGCTCTATATGTGTACTATGAATTGAAATGCATTCTGCTGTCATATATAACAAATTAAAATTTTAAAAAATGAAAAAATTTGGGGAGGGGATGTGCAGACTGGAGCCCCAGGGAGGTATTTGCTATTCCTTTTCCATGTATGTGAATGGATGCAACAAACCTTCGTCCAGCGTTGCCAACAGTACTGAGCCTGGCCCTTATATAATGTGCAGTCTGATGCGACATTTCTCAATCTTGGCCTTGGACAAACTGAACCACGTGGGAGCTTTTATAGCAAATTCACATCCAGGGGCCATGGCAGACCCATTACTTAAGAATCTTTGTGGAGGTGGAGTCCTTGGCGTTGTTTGCTTTAATCTTGTGGATTACAGCCAAGGCAAGAGGCATAAGTAGCAATAACAATTAAATAAAATTATAATTTTAATAAGTGCTTTGCAGGAACAGGGACAGATAACACGAATGGCATGTTGGGGGACCTTCTTTAGGCAATATGGTTAGGGGGCATCATCTCTGAGGAGAGGACATTGCTATAGAGACCTGGAGAGACTCAGCACATGCATTGCTGAGAGAAGAGCCTTCCAGGCAGACAGCCGAACAAGTGCAAAGCCCCCATGGAAGGAAGGGATTCTGCATATTCAAAAACCTGGCAGAGATCAAGGGAAGTTTCAGGAGATTGGGAGGAAGGTGTCATGGGATAAGATATGGAACACTGGGTGTTCGTAAAATATTTGGATTTTATTCAAAGTACAGTAAGAAGTTATTGAAGAAATTCATGCAATCAATCATGTGATCTAACTCATATTTTTTAAGCCATCTCTTTGGATGCCAGGAGGTGGGTGGACGTGAAGCGTCACGGCCGGTCACTCAGCCCCACACAGCTCTAAGCAGGGCCAGTGCTTCCCCCGTCCTCAGTGTTCTCATCTCCAAGTCCATGTGATCACACAGCCCATATAAGTGTCTTCGTACTCATGTGCCAGGGCTCTGGGGCTGGGAATATCTGTATGAAGACCCTGTCCCTGCCACTTAGGACTCAGGCAGGGTATTTGTTTCTTATTGTCATGTAAGAAATTACCACCCACGTAGAAACTCAAGAAAACACATGTTTATTACCATACAGTTTCTGTGGGTCAGGAGCCTGGAGGCACTTCCCGCAGGGTCCTCTGCTCAGGGTCTTGAAGTCAAGATGTTGGCTGGGGCTGTGAGGTCATCTGGGAGGAGTCAGCCACTTGGAAGCTCCTTCACACTTTGTTAGAGTCCGGTTCTAGGACTGAGGTTCCTGTTTCCTTGCTGGCTATTGACTGAGGTCCTTCTTAGATCTGGAAGCTTCTGTCAGGTCCTAGCCACGTGGCCCTCTCACAGCATGGCCAGCTGAGAATCTGTCCCTCATGTTCCCAGGTCCTGCCCATACCCAAGGGGAAGGGATTCAACAGGGTGTGTACACCAGGAGGTGGAAATCTCAGAGGCCCTCTTAGAGTCCTGCCGGCTGTGGCTGTGGCAGATAAATAGGTCCTGTGACAGAGATCCCTGAGTTCTGAGTGCCCTGCAGGAGGCAGGGGAGGCACTGGCAAGTGCCATGAAACCTACAGGAGGATCCCCGCCCCCCAGGGATGGAGAAAGGAAGACCCGGGGCGTGTGTCAGAGGGAAGGTGTCACCTGAGCCGAGCTGGGGTGGGTGGACTGAAGGTACGGCACATGAAAGGAAGGAAGGAAGGTTCTCCAAGGAGGCACACGCAGCACTGTGTGGTTGGGGCTCAGGGAAGAGGAGGGAGGAAGGGGGAGGAGCTCAGCCAGGTGGGCAGTGGGGAAACCAGAGCAGGTAGCCAGGCCTCGTGGCTCAAGTCTGTCAGGCACCCGCGATGCCCCACAGGCACCTGACCTAGACCAGTGTCCTGGAGTCACACCCCGACTTCCCGTGTCCCTTTGCCTTCTACCCACCTTTCAGTGCGGCTGTCTAAGCTCCCCCACCCTCCGCCCCTCAGTAAGTCACCTGGCCACACCAGCCCTGTCTTCCCCCGTGTGCCTCCTCCCCCTCCTCCACGTCTCTCACAATGAGTGTAAGATCTGACCTCCTCATGTGAGTGTCCAATGACGGTCGATAGCCTCCAGGTCCCCAGTACCTGAGGCTCAGATACCTCAGCCTGCACAATCCAGTGAGCCCTGCCTAAGCCCAGGTTCCCATCTCTCCCAGCACTGGGGGTTCTCCCCTGCCCCACCCGCACCTCCCCATAATGCATTTGGATTAAGAGCAAAACATTCGAAGTCAAGATTAATGGCCTGTGGCCACCAAAGAAATTGGACATGCTTTCTAATCTGAGTAAACAGTGGCATTGCCATGAAGAAATTCATGCAATCAATCAGTGATCCCTTAGCATCAGACACTGAGGGTTCTTTCACGCCTCTGCCACCTTTTGAGTTTGACCTTTGGACAGTCACTTCATCTAAGCCTCAGTTTCCTCCTCGGTAATCTGGGAATGGTAATAATATCTTCATTGTCATCATCTCTAAGGTCCTTGTGAAGATCAAATGAGAACGCAAACCCAGCACTTAGCCCCAACGTACATTCCGCAGTGACAACAGAACTTGTGACCAAACTCAGTGCTGGGTAGAAAGGCACTAGACCTTGGGACGAGGAGCTCTGGTTCACACTCCACCTGCTCTTTCTGTCCTCAGCTGACGATCCTGACTTAGTATCTTTGGGTCTCTGTCTTCTTCTCCTATAAGACAGGGTTGAAAATACTCACCCCCCGGGGTCCTGGTTAGGATTAAATGAGAGAGTCTGACAGCCCTTGGTGCGTATTTAGCATCAGGTAGAGATGGCATGCACGTGAGCCTCCTGTGGAGGCAGGTAGGAGAGGGAGGGAAAGTAAATAAGAAAGACCTGGACTTAGAGTCCAGCTGTGCCCCTTCCTAACTGTGTGTGCTTGCGCCAGGTACTTGCCTTTTTGAATCTCACTTTATCTGCAAAGTGACGGTGATACTGTCGAGCTCAGGGATTGTTATCTAGATGCTCTAAAATAAGAGGATGTAAAATGTCCAGTAAGTAGTTGACATTTCATCCTGTGTCTTCACCTCATTGTTGGCTATACACTTTGCTGTTTGGGATTCACACATCAGCAGAAGGAAAATGTGTTCAGTTAACAACCCAGACTCATCCTTTTTACACACTTACTATCAGTAGACGAATATCAGGAAACCAAGCCTCTCCTCCCAGTGCAAAGGGAAGCACCCCCCACCCCAGCCTGGGCCAGTGGTGATCCTGGCAGGACCTTTCTTGCATTCATTCAAAGAAATCCCTGGTCCCCTGTCTGTCTGCAGCAAGCGCTGGTCACAGGGCCTCCCTTCCCAAAGCACACACATGCCAAGCATAGCAGATGCCTGCTACCCCCAATTCACGGTAACAAGTACTGCCATCCAGGCAATACCTCAGAGAACCCAAGGAATTGTAGGTCCCTCTGACAGACACTGAGCAGGACATGCTCAGAAATTCTAAGAGCACACGGCGGTGCAGTGGGAGAAATTCCCCAGCCTTCTGTGCTGCACATCCAATTATGATACAGCATGCTGACTGGTGCCTGTTGGATTGATTTTTAATTTGGGAAACACTTCGGGTGTGTTTGTAAACCTTTGAGTCAGAAGTAGCCCTACGTGAATGCCACAATAAATTAGGGGAGTCAACAGGCCGCCCCCATGCCGTCTCCCTGCAGATTTCCACTCAGAGAGAATGAGTGTCACTGGCCACGCCATGGTGCCGGCATCTCTGTCAGTCACTCCGTGGGGAGGGCTTCTGTCCTCTGACACCTGGCCAGGGGGAGACACTCGTTCTCTGGTGTCCCGTTGTCAAAGTTGTTGAAGAACTAACCACCATTGAAGGTATCGTCTGACTGATGGATGTCCTCTCTGCTTTTCGCAAAAAAGAGAGACCAGAAATACAAGTTCTTGGGTTTGGCCCAGACCTCCTGAACCAGAACCTCCAGTGTGTGGGGGGAGGTCTTTTTAAATGAACCACTAATCAGACCAGTGTTGGGAAGCCCCAGCCCTTTTCTGAGAGTGAAAAGTACTTCTCCCTGTGATGGTCAGCGTGCTCTTTGAAGCATTTAAATCTGGTCCCAGCCCTGAAGTCCCCGGTGATCCCCACTGCATTTAGAACAGGGAGCCCACTGCCCACGTGACCTTCAAGGCCCAGCCAGACGCCTGCTCCTCTCCCACACACAGTCCGTCCCACTGGCCCAGCTTCTTGCTTGACTGAGCTGGACTCACTTTTGCTGCAGGTTGTTCTGGGCAGCTCACCCCGGACATTCACAATCTGGCTCCTGCTCCTTATGTAGGTGTCTTGGGCCATCCTGCCTACTATTAAAAAAAAAAAAAAATTCCAGAAGCACATTTCTCACAGCTCTGGAGGCTGGCAAGTCCAAGGATAAGGTGCTGGCAGACCCAGAGTCTGGGGAGAGCCCATGTTCTGGCTGATGGATGGCTGAGTCTCCAACTCTATTCTCAAGTGGTGTAAGGGGAAGGGTGCCCTGTGGGGCCTCTGTATGAGGGCATTAGGAACCTAGCCTTCCCAAAGGTCCCACCTCCTAATGCCATCACCGTAGGGTTAGGATTCCTACCTAGTAGAAGTTTGAGTTAGACACCAGTAGACACACAGAGCTCTAGATCTCAAATGTCACCTGGAGAGGGCCTTCCTAGGCCAGCCCACACAGCCACTGTCTGTCCTGTTGTCTCTCTACTCTCTCAGTTCCATCTGGATTGAACTGAGTTTGGTTTGCTTATTGTCTCCTCCCTGGAACACAAGACCCAGACGTCCAGGAACCTTGTCTGTCTAGCATCCAGACACATTGGAGATGATAAATATTTGTCGGGTGAATGCCTGTTTGAAAGGCAAAGATGGAACCCCAAGGGAAATTATGGCTGTCTTATGCTGAGCACCTGCTATATGTCTAGCTGCATCTCATTTAGGGGTCAACTCCACTTAGATATTGTATCAGTTACCCATTGCTGCTTAACAAGCTATCCTGCCCTAGGAGCTTAAGATGACCACCCTAGTGAACTCAGGATTCCGTGGCTGGGCAGCTTGGCCTGTGCTTAGCTGGACCCATCCAGGCATCTGCTGTCAACCTGGGTAACTCTTCTGCAGGTTGTCTGGCTATTAAGCCAGGTCCCTGGGGATACCTAGATGTCATCTAGCAAGGTGGTGGGGGCTTGTTCGCATAGTGGTAGTCACAAGGTTTCCAAAGGACCAAGCCCTGCTGTACCCGCACATTTTAAAACCTCTGTTAATGTAATGTTTGCTAATGTCCCTCAGACTGAAGCAAGCGAGGTGGGGCCAGGCCAGGGTCAGTGTGGGAGAGTCTTCCCAAAGGATGTGAATAGAGAAGAATGATTTATAGCTATTTTGTAAGCTATTCTGTCCCATGAACATTGGTAGAAACTGAAGCTCCAAGCTCAGAGCTCTTGCCCATGTGTTCTGACCCAGCACAGGGGTCAAATCCAGGACTGTCTGACCCCAGAACCCAGAGTTGCAAGCTATGATCGTGTCCCAGGCAGCATCTCTTGCTGCAGTGTACCTGAGGGGCATGGGCCAGCTGGTAGGGTGAGCGTGTCCCATTGCAACAGAAGCCAGGGAGGCCCACAGATGCTCTGGAGTCCCAGCCAACCCTGGCCATTAGGTTTCTCCCTGCCTGCTTCTTAGTAAGCTAAAGACTGTGTATGTTCAGCTTTCCATCTTAGTGGGGCTCCCCAGAGTAGACCCACCAGACACCGGAGACTTTGCCTTCTCCTCCCCAGCAGGAAGCAGCGGTGGGCTCTGTGGGAAGCGGAAAGGAGCTGGGTGAGTCCGCCCCTCTGGATTCTAGAGTTGGCTAATCCATCGGCTCCTCCTGTTCTCTTGAGCAAGTCGCACCCCCTCTGTGAAACTTACCTCTTTCCTCTTTCATCATGAAAATGGCCCAGGCAAAAAAAAGAAAAAAATCTCAAAGCTCCTTTCCAAATGGACAGTTCTGTGGTTTTAGAATTGATCTCTGTCTCCTGAAATCTGCACTGGCTCAGCCCTCGCTGTGCCGAGCACTCTGTCTTCCTGTCGAGGGGACCGGAGAAAGATGGGCACCGAGCTCCACACAGCAAGAGCTGCAGGGGCGCCCCTCCCAGAACAGATGTGGAGAGAAACAGCCCACGAGGAGCAGCCAGTGGTGGGTCTTGGAGGCCGCCCCCAAGAGGGTCCGGGGAGGAGGAAGGAATGGATAGAAGTTGACATCAAGGGAGGAGGGCCCTCTTCTGAGGGGAAACACGCAATGAAGGGAAGAGATTTGGGGGGCATTGTCCTCAACCTAACACCCATTCTTACCAGCTGATGACCTGGGCTTTGAGGTCAGGAAGACCTCCACCCATCTCCTGCACCTGACAGCTGCATGACTTGAAAGAATTGATTTACCTCCTCGCCTGCAAAACAGGGATCAGAGTCTCAATTCTGTAGAGTTCCTATGGCCATCAGATATGATAAGAGCCACAATGTGGGTGGCACCTGGCAAGTAGGAAGTAAGGGGGACGGATTGATCTGTGGTTGTCACAGTTTCCATGTTGTCCTTGTTGGGAACCTGAGGTTGTCTCTGTTGTCCCCATCCTGGCAAGTTTGATTCTTAGAGAGAAAATGTTGGAGAGGGCTGGCGGCTTGGAAGACATGTGGGTTGTGTCGTCTGCACACACACTCCTGGCTGAGGTTCCACGGGACGCACCTGACACCATTTCCCATAAAGCTCAACTTAATCTTTCATGAATGGCACCGTTCTCCTGAGAACCTTCAGTAGCTTCCTGCATTCTCCTGTGCTCTCAGCAGAGCTTGGCAGACGGGCTGTGCCCGGTAGGCTTGCTGCCTGCTTAGAAAACAGAGTCAAAACCCCAGTGAGTAGAAGAATCCACAGCAAAGCCGCCCTCTCCCCTGCTCAGTCCAATGACCTCCTTCCCCTGACACACACCAACAGTCTGCATGCGAGAAACGGTTCTTGCCCTTTTACTCTCCTGCTCACAACAGATTTGTGCAAATAGATCTCCCTGGAAGTACGGAGTCCACCATTGTACACAGATGAAGCTGAGGCACGGGGAGATCATTCAAAATTCCAGACCCTCAAGCCCAGGAGAGAACAGGGCCCGACAGTGGAGGCTCAAGGCCAGGGTCAGCGAGCTGAGGCATCCTGCAAAATGCTACCTTCACAAGGTGACTCGGTTGGTTTGGTTAGTGGACGTAATCAAGGGTGAGAAATGGAGGGCATTTTACTCTGGTGAGTGTCTCAGTCTTCCATACTGGAAAAGGGGGCAAATCTAGGCGATACCAGAGTTACTGAGAGAAAACTCTGGAAGTCCAGAGAGAAAGCCATCGACAGGAGATAGGTGTGCCCATTTTCTTTGGTTTGGAAGCGTGGAAATGCATGGAATCTCTTTCTTGGTAATCGTCTGAATAAAGTGGACAGACATCCGACCAGAAGACTTCTGGTCTTGTAACCTCTTTCTGGAAAGAGGGAAAAATTAAAATAGGCTTTTGCTGTCTCTTTAAACCATAGATTTTGTGTACCAGGCATTTCTGATGCCTTTGAGGGGATAAAGAAAAAAGAAAAAGAAAGCAGAAGAAAAATCCTCATAGATTTCTTTTCAAACCTGTCCCCAGAACACTCCTGTGAGAAGCTCCTTTTGTTTCTTCCTCTGGCCTCTGTTCTCCCCACTTCCCTTGGCCCAGAGCCTTCTGGTAGCCTTGTGAACTTGGCCTCCAGGCAGTAAGCGCCCTGAACAGTGAAGACATTACCCCAGGTGCCCTTGGGTTCCCAACATTCACACGTCCTTCTGTTCCCTTTGCCAAACACCCAGGGTTATTATTTCTCAGTCACTTCAAGCCCCATCAAGGTCCCTGTCTACACATCTCTGGTGGATAGGTCCAAGAATCTGAGCTGGAGCCTCAGGTCCATTATTAGGAAACTGGGGAGAAGAGCTGTGCTGGGAGAATTCTGGAAGGCGCCTGGCGTGTAGGGACGCATCCATAACTCTAGCTGTTTCTCATGTTCTCCCTCTCATGTTGGTTTTGGTGCTCCTTGTCAGGCAGTGCCCTCCGTTAGTCTAAATCTTCTGTGGCCGTTCACTGCTTTAGATCAGTGGAGCCGTTTTCCATCTTGACTGAGAGAGGAGAGGTATAAGAGTTTGGGCTGGATGAGGATCTTTGGATAGTTTACTATTGTCACAGCCCACCCCTTGGCATTAGTCTGTTTTCTGTTGCTATAATAAAATAGCTGAGGCTGGGTAGTTCTAAAGAAGAGGATTACTTAACTCAGAGTTTTAGAGGCTACATGTCAAATCCAAGATGAGGAGGCCTCATCTTGTCAGCCTCTGGTGACAGTTCCTTTGACAATATCACAAGATGGCCAAGAAGCAGGAAGGAAATGGCTCTGTGCAGAAGAGTGAGCATTCCCATGGTGAGACTAAAGACAGAGGATCCAGGGCTCAGGATAACTGTTCTTCTAAAACACTTTCATGGGAACTTGCCAAGGAGCCATGAAAAGTACATTAATTCATTCCCAGGGCCCACCCCCAGTGACCTAGCCACCTCCCACTAGGCCCCCGCCTCTGGAAGATTCCACACCTGAACACTACCACATTGGAAACCCAGCTTCCAGGGCATGAAGGTTTGGGGGCAAGCACTTCCAAAACCATGGCACCATTGAAAAGAGGAGCCTGGGGCTTGTGTGCAAGGTGACTTTTGCTATCCTGTGTTCAGCGGGAAGCAGAAGACGAGAACCAGCGTGGCAGATGTTTTATGTCTATTTATGGGTAAGAGAACTGAGTGGGTAATATTCCGAGACCAGTTCAGATTTGAAGCTGATGGTCCGCCTGTGGGTGGATGGAGGTGGAGGCCCACAGGAGGCCTGCAGATGATTCAGGGATGGGCCAGGTCCTCACACCCGCCTCCCTTTCTCTTCCAGGCTCCAGATGCTGGAGGCCATCTGCAAACACTGGGAGGGACCCATCAGTCTGGCCCTCTACCTGTCGGATGCTGAGGCCCAGCAGTTCCTCCGCTACGCCCAGGGCTCCGAGGTGCTCATGAGCCGCCACAACGTGGGCTACCACATTGTGTACAAGGAGGGCCAGTTCTACCCTGTGAACCTCCTGCGCAACGTGGCCATGAAGCACATCAGCACCCCCTACACGTTCCTGTCGGACATCGACTTCCTGCCCATGTACGGGCTCTATGAGTACCTCAGGTAAGGACCTGCTGGGCCGGCACTGCCCACTCTGCTCCTGGAGCTGGAAGGCTTGTAGGGTCGTGCGGGGCCGGAACAGAAGCCCCTTAGGATCCTGCTCTAGTCAAGTGCTTTCATAGATGGGGCAGCTGAGGTCAAGAACGGGGTACGGCCTGCCTGGTCACCCAGAGGTAGAACTCCTGCCTGCCAGGTGTGGGAGATCCAGGAGGCGGTTGTCCCGGGGAACAGCCTGGAGCCCGAGTTTGCATGATGAAGTGTCAGTTGGGTCTAGGAAGCATCCTGTCTCCCATCTAATGCTCTTTCTATAGCATCTCTGAAAACACACTGTCCCTCTTCCAATTTTGGATCAGACAGCCTTCACGTAACCGTTCTAAAAAGATCACTGCCTATTCTTTAAAACAAATCTAAGTGATAATGATGCCTAACATCAATTGAAGTGCTTGCCGGGTGCCAGAAGCTGTTCTGAGTGCCTGGCAAGTCAGATCTCACCCCCCCACCCCCCACCCTGCCGCAAACCCTGCCTCAGGTAGAACAAGACTAAGCCACTGGCCCAAGGTGACACAGGAGCAACGGGGCAGCTGGGGTCAGAACCTAGACCCTGACTAGACCCATGTGCCTAATCATCTCGAGGCCGTCTCTGGATCTCCAATGTCCTTTTCTAACTGTCCCCGCCTAGAAGGACAAACGTCCAGCCGCTGGAGAAAGCCGTGACGGAGAGCTGCTTGGCTGTGGTGACGAGTGGCATTTATTACATAATAACAAACAGCATGAACTGAAAGACACTACAATTCATATAGCCCAAGGTTCCATTCCCTAGGTACAGATGCACCAACCACAGTTTTAAAGAATCCGCCTCTCCCTACTGTCATTCTTCAGTATGCGTTACCTCCACTACCAGGGCAGTGCTTGCCTGGCTCCTAGGTACCATGAGGTGGTTTGCATCTCTTATCTTGTTGGATCCAAAAGCATGCATACCTCCCCCATTTTCTAGGGGTAGCAGTGAGGCTCAGAGAGGCCAAATCCCCTGCTCAAGTCCAAGGGTTGTGTCAGGATTTGAACCAGGGTCTGTCGGATTCCAGGTTTGAAGGCCATGTTGCTGCTCTGGGGTTTCTGACTGTCCAAAACAATGTGATTTGGCAGGATGTGATTTCTTTCTCTCTTTTTCTCTGGCCTGCCCTCCTTCCATCCATCTCTGTCTCTCTTTCCCTGTCCCTCCCAACCCCTTCCTGTCTCTGTGCCTCTCTCTTAAAAGATCTCCAACATTCTTTAAACCTTTTGTGCTTCAGCCGAAGCACGGGTTTCACATCAGCAGCCTCCCTGCCCTGCTCTCTCCAGAGCAAGGAAGGCAGCCTGTGTCCAGCCACTGGACTGGGTTTATTTCCAGGGTCACGTTGGGGTTTCATAGCATCAGCCCCTCTTGTGAGCAGGGAGGAGCCCCTCTCGGGCTCTTTGATAATAGCAGAGTGGGCAGCACCCGGACATCTTGGAGGCAGGCAGGTGGAGCACAGAGCTCTGTGAACCGGGACTCCTGGCTGTACCAGGCTCTTAAGAAATGGAGTTTTTCCCCAGCTCAGGCTCCTGCTGGGACTCTGAATCCCAGTGTGTGGGTTGAGGGTGCCCCCATGTGGTCACCTCTGTTGCTGCAGCTTCTGAAACCTCCAGATTCCAGAGATGGAAGGAACAGATACGTGGGAGAAGAGTGTGGCCCAATACCACCAACACCCCCCACCCCCGACCTGGACCCATCAAAGAGAGGCTTTTAGGACTGGACCCTGCCCATCACCACTTTCTAGGCTCTTCTTAAGAAGCACCTGGAAGCCTTCACTCTGATGAGTTGAAAGGGAACAGGCCCCATTCCATCAACACTGTGGTCTTGACTCTCCAAGGGCTGTTTTATGACTTTGCCTCATGGGCATCATGTTTAAAAACACGTATACAAGAGCAGACATGTATGTTTTCCCCTTGGGCTTTACTGATCCGAGACCCTAACTGATGATCAACATCTTATTCAATTTGAGGTAATTAATATTGCCTTTTAATTAACATTTTTGCTTAATGCAGAATCGCTGGAGGTTGCAGTTCGGCCACCTTATCCCAGGTGCCTGTGGTTCCCCTCAGGGGGTTTGAAATACTGCAAATTGCTCCTAGATTCAATTATTGTCTAAGCAGACCTCCCAAGAATACTGAGCACAACCTAGTAGGGAGACCATAGACTCTCCACTGCCATATGGAATTCCTGCTCCAGGGGACCAGGACTGAAGTTAGGCAGTCCTGCAGAGGACCTGGGAATCTGCATTTCCACATAAGACTTTTAATATCAGCAACTTACTAAAAATAAGTTTTTAATGCTGCTAAGCCAGACCATACATGTCCCCAGGCTGCAGTGAACCTGCCCCCCGCTCCTCCAGGCCACCAGTCTGTGACCTCTGACCTGGACATTCCCTAGGCACTGAATTTAAGGAAACAGTAAGGGACATGATTCTATCAGAAGCCCTAAATAAGCATCTACTGTCCATTTCCTTTGAAGGCCACTATATTGACTGGTAATTGGCTTGGGAAGAATTTTTTCTAGTATTTGGGAAGGATTTATTTCTGATCCATATATTATCAGTAGATATATCCTGACAATAGCAGAATTATATCACTGGTTGGGGATGAGGTTAGGGATGCTGTTAGCTATGGTGCTCAGGGGGGCCAGCAGATCCCCTAATTGACTGACTTCTTCAGCACTGATATCTGACAAAACGCTAGACCCAGATTTTGTGAAGATATGACTAACAAAAATGATGGTTACAATGAATTGAGCTTTGACCAAGTGCCGGAAGCTTGGTTTCCATCGCCTGTACTCTGATACTTCTCTATGCAGTGGTCACCAAACCAAGGCCCCAGAAAGCTTAGTCTTATTGTGAGAGGAAACCGTGGACTTCTGTCTACCCAGCCTGCGCAGAAGGAGCCAGATCACTCTCAAACCCCACAATACGGAGCAGGCTAACCAGCAGCCCTCTGGCTGCACCCCCAGACACTTGCTCATGTCACCCTTCTTGAGGTCCTCCCTGGTTTCCAAAAAAAGTTCAGCACCGTAGCTCTCTGAGCGGTTGCCTAGCAACCAGCTAATATTTCAGCAAAAACAAACAGTTCAATCGGAAAATAATGAAATCAGCTCTATTCAGGGACAGAGCTGCAGAATTTCACTAAAATCTCTCTTCCACGCCTTCTCCCGTTTCTGCTAACGAATGAGCTTGTAGACGTGCGGCTCGCACTTCTGTTTATAGAAATGTCCACTGGAGTTCAGCGGGTGTGGCCAAATCACACAGACCTGCATTTGAACCCAGATCCTCGATACTTTCCAAGAATGTGATGTGGGCCACTTCTGACCCACCTTTTCTCAATTAATCCAGGAGCTGGTAATAGCCTCTTGCAGGGTCAGTGCTCAACAGCTAGTTTTCTGTCACACGGCTTCTTCACAGCACTTAGTATTGGACTCCTTTTCCAGGCCCCAGTACCTACCCTTGTAAACTGCCCGCCACCTTCCAAACAGCCGAGGTAACTGCATGGAACCATTTGACATTTTCACTCCCTGGAATGAGAACTATATACAAATGGCCCCTGACCTATGACAGCTCAGTGTACATTTTTTTTAACTCTACAAGGTTGCAAAAACAGTATGCAGTCAGTAGAAACCTTGCTGCACGTTTTGAATTTCAGTCTTTTCCAGGAGGAGTGATGCACAGTCTGCTTCTCTCTCCTGATTCTGGGGGGACCACGAGCTGCAGCCCCCAGTTATAAGGGGAACCACCAGTCTCCTCAGTGTGCTGTGTGGCTACGCTATGACATCCAGGACGCTAGGTGTAGAGAATGTATTTTCCACTTTCCACATTTCAACTCATATTGGGGTCTGTCAGGTCGTAACGCCATTGTAAATGCTCCTTACTCAGCATTGACTTGGCCTTGGGAATGGTACTTGACATCCCTCACTTGACATCCCTCTGTGAGATGGGGATAATACTGTTTCTTCCCTCATAGAGACTTGGAAAGCACCTAGCAGTGCCCAGAACATTCTTCTTTCCATGAGCAGCCATTGCCTCCCTGCGATGGCCATGCACTATTCTGGGCCATGGAACAGTGGACAGAACAGTGGACAGAAGGGCAACAATAATGCTATTGTTCTCATCACCATTAGAGATGCAGAGATAAAAGATACAGGACCCCAGTCTAACAGCAGATGGCCCAATGCGGCCAGGTGGGACAGGTCTCAGGAAGAGCTGCTAGTTGAGATCGAGCTTGAAGATCACTGGTTCAAATGTCATGAGACACATTTGAGGGTCACTGAAGCCACTGGTGTGGTTGAAGTTCCAGAATGACAGGGATATCAGGAATGGGACATCTCAGCCAAGAGTGACCTCAACCATGGACTGGGGCACATTTCTAGCCTCTTCCACCTGCAGAATCCTCATCTCTGATCAGTGCTTTAAAGCTTCAAGAGTCTCTGCTATCCACGCTGATTCTGTTTTTTAGGGAACACACGTGCCACACTGGCAGGGATGGTGTTGCACAGTGTTTCTGTAAGAACAACGAGTCAGTGAGTCAGTTTTATTCTGTGCTAGGCAGGAGGGCATCTGGCCAACCCCCATTCACATTTTCCCAGGCACACGATGGCTGCTCCGTCAATTCTTAAGTGAGTGCAAAAATGTGAACAAGGCCAGGTGGAAGTGGCGCCAAGTGAGATTTACTGGCTGCCTTCCAAGAGACGTTACCAGGTGGCCTTTCCTTGGGTTACTTTGTTATTTTAATTCTGCTATATCTGTGGCATTTAACGTTTATTGAGCACTTACTATGTGCCAAGCACTGTGATAAGCACTTTTGTGTGTATTTTATCATTTAACATTACCACGGTTCATTTTACACAAGAGGATGTTCATGCTAGGCCTCACATTCAAGGGCGCAGCACCACTAAGTAGGCACCTGGCTTGCTCTGGGCTCATCCAGAGGTGTCTGTGCCT